ACTACCACTACTACTACTACTATTACTACTACTACTACTACTACTACTACTACTACTACTACTACTACTACTACTACTACTACTACTACTACTACTACTACTACTACTACTACTACTACTACTACTACTACTACTACTACTACTACTACTACTACTACTACTACTACTACTACTACTACTACTACTACGACGACGACGACGACGACGACGACGACGACGACGACGACGACGACGACGACGACGAAGACGAAGACGAAGACGACGACGAAGACGAAGACGACGACGACGACTGCTATCACTACTACTCCTGCTACTCCTACTCCTACTCCTACTCCTACTCCTACTCCTACTCCCACTCCTGCTCCTACTCCTTCTCCTTCTCCTTCTCCTACTCCTACTCCTACTCCTACTCCTCCTTCTGCTCCTCAGCCTTACCCTCACCCTCATCCTCATCCTCATTCTCATCTACAGCCTCGATCCTTGGAAGGCCAAGCAGCTGATGGAGGTCACCGTGGGGGGCTTCCCCTCTGCGCCAGAGGCGTGCGACTACTGCTTCGGCTCGTTCACGAAGACGGGCGTCCCGCCCGCCGGGCCTGTGGCCCCCGCGTGCGTGTGCATGTCCTACCCCGACGGCGCTGAGCACAACATGTTCTGCGCCACGCCCGTGTCGGCGGCGCAGTACGTAAAGGACATCCTCGGGAGGGCGAATACGCGGCTGGTGGCCTCCTGGGCGGCGCTGCTGGGAGGGGCGAGTCCTGTACCCAGGCCAGGCCGACAGGCAGCGAGACGGAGTCAAGCCAGGGCAGGAGGGGCCAGGGTCCAGGCCTGGCCGAAGAGCACCGCGTCGGGAGGCCACCAGCACCCAGGGCTTGCGCAGCGCAGGCGGCCTCGATCCTCGAGTGCCGAGGGTTGCGGATCGAGGGTCGAGGACCGAGGTTCGAGGATCGAGGATCGAGGGTCGATGATCGAGGATCGACGGTCGAGGGTCGAGGATACAGGATCGAGGATCGAGGCTCGAGGGTCGAGAGTCGAGGGTCGAGGGTCGAGGGTCGAGGATCCAGGATCGAGGGTCGAGCTTCGAGGGTTGAGGATCGAGGTCGAGGGTCGAGGATCCAATCGACGACGGCGACGACGACGACCGACGACGACGACGACGACGACGACGACGACGACGACGACGACGACGACCAGCGAGAGGCGGGCGCACGGCGTGCACTCCCAGAGAGGGGCCGCACCGTCGGCGCACCCTCGCCCTCGGCGGAGGCCCGCGGAAGCATGGCGGCGGCATGCCCGGACTCCTAGGCGGGGATTTATATACAGATCCACCGCCTGGAGGATCGATTGTCCTCCTCCTCCTCCTCCTCCTCCTCCTCCTCCAACCTTCTCCTCCTCCTCCTCCTCCTCCAACCTCCTCCCCCTCCTCCTCCTCTTCCTCCTCCTCCTCCTCCTCCTCTTCCTCCTCCTCTCCTCCTCCTCCTCCTCCTCCTCCTCCTCCAACTCCAACTCCAACCTCCTTCTCCTCCTCCTCCCTCCTACCTCCTCCTCCTCCTGCTCCTCCTCCTCCTCCTCCTTCCTCCTCCTCCTCTCCTCCTCCTTCCTCCTCCTCCTCCCCCTCCATCTCCTCCTCCAACCTCCTCCCCCTCCTCGTCCTCCTCCTCTCCTCCTGCTCCTCTGTCCTTCTCCTCCCCCCCCTCCTCCTCCTCCCTCCTTTCCTCCTCCTCCCCCTCTCCTCCTCCTCCTCCTTCCTCCCCTCCCTCTCTCCTCCTCCGCCTCCTCCCTCCTCCTCCTCCTCCTCCTCCTCCTCCACCTCCTTCTCCTCCTCCTCCTCCTCCTCCTCCTCCTCGTCCTCCTCGTCCTTCTCCTCCTCGACGACCGGTGGATGAGGCATACCCAGACTCTGAGGCGGGGATTTATATACAGATCCACTTCGGTAGCAAATCATGGGAGCCTGGTATACCGTCGCAATTCCGTCTTTAGCGTGGGCTGGCGCCGATTAGCGTCTGGGAATTCATGAGATAGCGCCGATGTACTCCGAGTACCTCAATAGTTTAGGGCACCTGGGCTACAAGGTCGCCCCGGAACACAAGGGCCCTTCCCCCAGATTATAATGGCCCCCCCCCAGGCTACAGGGACACCTGGGCCCCCCCGGGGCCCCAGACTACAAGGACCCCCCTGGACTAAAAGGGCCCCACCCCCAGATTCCCGGAACCCATCCCCGGTCTACAAGGACCCCCACCCCCGCACAGCACAGCAGGTGCTACGGGTTACCAGTGACGGATGTTGGGGCCTTTGTCTCGGAGAAGGGCTCCTCGCACGCGCGCGCGCTGCCAGCGGAATCGCCGCGCTGCTTGCCGACGGGACTGCACGCGCGCTCGTGCAAAGCGCATCGTCTGCGTTGTGCGCGGACTACAGGACCCCCCCCTGGACTTCAAGGGCCCCGCCCCCCGGACTACAAGGGCCCCCCCCGGACTACCAAGGCCCCCCCCCCCTCTTGGGACCGTTTTGGGGCCTCTTTTGGGCCTCATTGGGTGCCTCTTGGGTGCCTCTCGGGTGCCTCTTGGGCCGTTCTGGGGTTGCCACGGGGGCCTCTCTTGGGCCGCCGTGGAGCGCAGGAAAGCCGTACAGGCGAGAACGCTAAAATTTCTCCTCCTCCTCCTCCTCCTCCTCCTCCTCCTCCTCCTCCTCCTCCCTCCTCCTCCCTCCTCCTCCTCCTCCTCCTCCTCCTCCTCCTCCTCTGGAAAATCAATGATGTTTGCTTTGGGGGGCCCTCTTGGGATGCCTCTCGGAGGCCTCTCGGGGCGTCTCGGAGGCCTTTTGGGCCAACTTTTGGGCCATCGTGGGCGTCTTCGGGCGCTCGCTCGGCGACTCGGGGCTCTCTTGGACCGTCCTGGGGGCCCCCTGGGGCCGCCGTGGGAGCTGCGGAGAGCCTCCCGGAGCGGGCGCCGTGGCCGCCCCAGGGAATCCCCGGGGGCGATGCAGTCAGGGAAGCGTGACCGGTGGGAAGGGGGGGTCCCTTAGAAGACTACAGAAGCCCTGCCACCCAGACCCCCTCGAGTGATGAAAAAATCATGACGGGAGGTTTTTCGCCATTTTCGGCCTCTCGGGGCCCTCACCGGGCCTCGGGAGCGTCAAAAAACGACTCAGGATCACAAACCGGTCCTGGGGAAGGGGTCGAGAATTCTGGGGTCGACGTAATGAAAAAACCATTACGTCGGGGGTCTGGGAAGACTACAGAAGCCCTGCCAGGCAGCCCCTGGCATTCTTCCACGCCTTGGGCCTCGTTTAGGAAGAGGCGCTCTTCCGCTATAATGCGCTGCGTCCTTACCTTGCTCCGGCCTCGGCGGGCCAGTTTCGACTGCCGGCTGCCGCAGCCTGGCTGTGTCCATGCGTCCCAGCCCTGCATCCTCACGACGTGGCCCCCACCGTGCACCACAGCAAGGGCAGCTCGGGAGCCACACCGGGCCATGGACCAGGCCCTGGCCAGGAGGCCCCCGTGGTATTGACCAGGCCAGGCAATTGACCAGGGCTGGCAGACCTGGAGCAGCTCCCGGCAAGGCCGAGAGGCTATCCGGCCCGAGCTGGCCAGGAGGAGGAGCAGGAGGAGGAGCAGGAGGAGGAACAGGAGGAGGAACACGAGGAGGAGGAGGAGGAGGAGGAGGAGGAGGAGGAGGAGGAGGAGGAGGAGGAGGAGCAGTAGGAGCAGTAGGAGCAGTAGGAGCAGGAGCAGAAGGAGCAGGAGCAGGAGCAGGAGCAGGAGCAGGAGCAGGAGGAGGGGCACTGTGGTATGTTGGCTTACCTGCCGAGGACAAGGGCGGCTGCCTCTGCCAGGCGCGCGACATGGAGAGCATGGGGCAGACCACCTGCGACCCGTACTGACCAGGGGCGCTGCGAGCGAGCCCTTGCGCCGCCTCGCACGAGCTCGCTCCGCCTCCCAGAGCTGTCCTCCTTCTTCTTCTTCTTCGCCGCCTCCTTCCCTCCTCCCCTGCTCCTCGGTGGCTTCATCCCTCTCCCCTCCTCCCTCTGAATCCTCCTCCGACTCCGACTCGGACTCCGGTGGCGACGATACCGACGGCAACGGCGGCGACGGCCACCACGACGACGACGATGACGACGACCACGGCATCGGCCACGACGACGACGACGACGCCGACGCCGGCCCGGGGACATAGCGGCCCCTGGATCCACCCGCCAGAAGGCAGCTCGCACATTAGCCGGTGATATTCTCCTCCGCTCTGGAGGAGGAGCGGGGAGCGCGGGCAGTTCGCCCAGAGAGTGGCAACGAGCCGCACCGCCTCCGCCCCTCGCGCTGGGGACGCTATCTCGACGTCGCCTTCTGGGAGTAGAGCGCAAGGTCTGCCTCTCCCGCGTCGCGATCCCCCGCGCTCGAGCCCGGGGCGCAGAGAAGCTGCACCAGGCATGGGGTCGCGCCTCCCCCGACAGACACTTGGCTGCGCAAGCCGCGTCGGCGGCGGCGGTGGCGGCGCAGCTGGCAGCAGCGGTGACGACGCAGCTCGCTGCCATGCCTCCGCGTCCCGGACCAGGGTGGCCCACGTATTCCTTTGCGGCGGGGGCGGCCCCGGGGGCGGCCGCGGCGGCCGCGGCGGCGGCGGCGGCGGCGGCCGCGGCGGCGGCGGCGGCGGCGGCGGCGACGACGACGACGACGACGACGACGACGACGACGACGACGACGACGACGACGACGACGCCCCCGCCGGCAGGAGCTCTGCGATCGCGGAGTGCGAGGCGTTGGCTGTCTCGCCGAGTCTGCCTCCGCCGCGGCCGCCGTCGACGCCGCCGCCGTCGAGGATCGAGGTTCGAGCGTCGAGGCTCGAAGTGTCGAGGGGCGAGTCTGGAGTTTTCTTGGCACCTTCGGCCCTATCTAGGCCGCTGGGGGCCTCTGGCGAGCCTCCTGGGACCTCCCGCCCTCCGCCGTGATCCTCCTCGTCTTGCTCCTCCTTTCTCCACTCCTTCGCCCACGCCGACCCAGTTTCATTCGATTCACTCGCAGTCAGACCGCTCATATTCACTGCAGGAACACTCACGCCAGCACGCATTTTCTGATTTATCATGCTCAGGCTCATTCACACTCGGATTCTGTCGTGTTCACACACACACACACATGCTCGTAGCGCGCTTGCACTCGAATCAAGAAACACTCATGCTCAGACCGTCCACATTCATATTCAATCATACTTCCATTAGTCAAGCCCACAGTCACACACTGGCCATTTACACTCAGACCGTTCACGCTCACAGGCAGTCGTATTCCGACTCACGCGCACTCAGATTCGCCCACGCTCAGCCTTTCATCATCAAACCCACTCATACCCAGACCCACGCATGCTCAGAAGCCCCGTGATCACAACTTCCCGCCGCCCTCGCCGCGGTCGCGGACGAGTCCAGACGAGCCCAGGCTCGAGACGCGCCCCCCGCGCCCCCTAGCCCCTGCGCCTCGCCTCGACCTCGTGCTGCCCCCGACCCGCCTCTCGCGGATGCTCGCGGCTGGCCAGCGCCACGCGCCCCTGCTCAGCAGCGACGGCACCGCAGCGGCCTGCGGCCGCAACGAGGACGGTCCGTGCGCCCTCCCAGGCGCAAGCGGAGTGGCGGGGGCACGGACCCATACGCGCAGGTTGCCGCTGGAGGGGGCTCGCGCGGCCCACAGGTCGGGAGCGAGGGCGCCGCCGCGGGTCTGCGGCCGGAGTGCTGACGACCAGGGCGACCTCCCGGCGCAAGCGGGGGGCCCGACGGACACCCAGGTTAGTTCACCAGCCTGGAACATATCCCTATGCCTATGCTGGGCATCTCCTCATCGCGATGCCAATCTCAGGGATTCCCCCATTTTTGGAGGGCGAATCCCTAAGATTGTCATCGCCTTTTGGCGTGTCAATCTTAGGGATAGGGATACGTTCGAGGCTGGTAGTTAGTGCCGCTGGATTCGACCACACGGCCCTGCTCAGCAACGACGGCGGCACCGCGGCCCGAGGCCTTAATGATCGTGGCGGCCAGTGCGACCTCAAGCGCTCGTGGGGGGCCCTGAGCCACACGCGGGTTGCCGCTGGATAGGGCCACGCGGCCCTGCTCAGGAGCGACGGCACCACCGCGGCCTGCGGCCAGGATGGTCACGGTCAGGGCGACCTCCAGGCGCTCGTGGGGGGCCTGACCTGCGCGGCGCACCTGCTTCCGGTCCAGACCCCCGAGGTCGTGACTTCTTGAAAAAACGTCGACGGGACCGTCATGGCGAAAAAAAAAACTCCCGTCGTGACCTTCTCACAGCTCCAGGGGCTTTGGGTACGCAGCGCCCTTGCCTGCAGCGCTGCCGACGGCGACTCGGTGCGCTCCCCGACCCTCGGCGGGGCCGGTCGCGCTGCCGGCTGCCGCGGGGTCGGGGCCCGGCCCTCCGCTGGTCCCGACGGGCGCCTGCTGCGGCCAGCTGGCGGCGGAGCATCCCGCGGGCGGGCTCGGCCATGCTCGGCCCAAGGGCTTCCGGCGGGATCGACGCCAGGCCCCCCTCGCGCCCTCGAGTCGCGACCAAAGCACGGCGGCTTTTTTGTTCGCTGTCTTCCGCCGGGGAGGACGGCGCGCGGAGGGCGGTGCGTTGGCGTGGCGGTGCGGTGGCGGCCCCCGGGCTGAGATCTGGGCGGGGCGCACGTTCTGTCACGCACGGCGAGGGGCTCGACGCCTCGCTTCGGGCCGCTCGGGGCCCTCGCAGAGCGGTGCGGCTCGAGAGGTGCAGCGGAGAGATGGGGTCCAGAGTCTGGGGCTCCCGTCGTGCCCAGAGATCCGACGCATTGAAAACATCAAGGCGGCGATTTTTTTTGCAAATTTCGGCCCCTGGGGGCCCTCGCCGGGCCTCGGGACCGTCAACAAAACGACTCAGGATGAAAAACCGGTCCAGGGGAATGGGTCGAGACTTCCGGCGACACTGCATTGCAAAACTCACGACATTCACGACATCGGATCTCTGGGTGGGCGTTGGTTTTGGTCTTGGGGTGGGACCTTCGGAAGTTCCTCCTGTTCATGCCCTCGCCTCGCCTTCTCCTCCATATCTGCCACCCGCCTCTCGCAGCGGCCGGCTCGGCCCAGGCAACCTTCCACAAAGAAAGGGCCCGCTGTGCGAACGCCCCCGCGCAGCCCAGACATCCGGCGCCCCGACTTCTGCGCGACGCGGGCCCCCGACCTCTCTCGACGCTCTTCCCCAGGGCCGGCTCCTCGTGCCGACGGCGCCGTTCTTTGGCGAAGCCCGGGGGCCTCGCAGGGGCCTCGGGAGGCCGATAAGACGCCAGAGAAAAAACACCTCCGCCTCGATGCTGCTCGAGGCGCTGCCTCGCCCCGAGGGGCCGAGCACGATTGTAGCAGAGACCCGCGCCCCGACTTCGAAGCGGGGCGCCGCATGCCTGGGAGGCTCCGGCCACCGCTCGGCCACGGGAGCCGTGCCCCCCCCCCCCCGCGCGCCGCGCGAGCGCTCCCCAGAGATCCGACGCCGTGATTTTTGCAATACGGGGTCCCCAGAAGTCTCGACCCATCCTTGCCCAGGACCGGCTTTTCATCCCGAGTCGCTTGTTGACGGCCCCGAGGCCCGGCGAGGGCCCCCAGGGGCCGAAATTTGCATAAAGCCTCCGCCTTGATTTTTTCAGTGCGCTGGATCTCTGGGTTTGTCAGCCACGCGCAGAGGGGGGTGGGGGGAGGGGGGAGGGCTTCTTAGAAGCACCCCTGCCTCTTAGAAGGCGAGGGCCTTCTCTATCGATGTCAGGCCGGCGCCTTCTGAGAAGCAGCCTCCTTCTGAGAAGCCCTCCCCCCGCCCCCCACCCCCTTGTGCGCGCCGCCAACCCAGACCCCCGACGTAATGAATTTTTCATTACGTCGACCCCAGAGTCCTCGACCCCTTCCCCAGGACCGGTTTGTCCTCCTGAGTCGTATTTTGACGCTCCCGAGGCCCGGTGAGGGCCCCCAGAGGCCGAAAATGGCGAAAAACCTCCCGTCATGATTTTGTCATTACTCGAGGGGGTCTGGGAAGTCTGCGCTCGACGGCGCCCCCGGCGATGTGCCGCCGGCTGCTGCTGCCCCTCGGGGCGGCCCTGCTGGCGCGCCGCGCGGCCGGGGAGCGCCCGCGCGCGGCCGTGCACCTGGAGCCCCCCGCGGGGCCGCGGCCGGGCGCCCCGCGGCCCGCGCGCGAGGACGGGGGGCCCCCGCAGAGCTCCCCGACCAGCGGGCGTCTCGAAGAAATCGGGACATGCCCCCGCACCCAGAGATCCAACGTATTGAAAAAATCAAGACGGAGGTTTTTCTCAAATTTCGGCCCCTAGGGGCCCTCGCCGGGCCTCGGGGCCGTCAAAAAACGACTCAGAATGAAAAACCGGTCCTGGGGAATGGGTCGAGACTTCCGGGGACCCCGTATTGAAAAAATCACGACATCGGATCTCTGGGCAGAGATCCCAGACCAACGGGCGTCTCGGCAAAGTCGGGACAGAGGCTTTTCGTAGTTCTTGGCCCCTCGGGGCCCCCGCATGGCCTCGGGGCCGCCAACAGAGCGGCTCGGGAGGAGAAGCCGGTCCCAGGGAAGTGGTCGGGAGGTCGGGGGCCCGCGTCTCGAACAAGTCGGGACGTCGGATGTCTGGGGACCCAGACCTCCGACGTTGTGATTTTGTCACAACGTCGACCCCCAGAGGTCTGGACCCTTTCCCTGGGACGGGTTTTTCGTCCTGAGTCGCTTTTTGACGGTCCCGAGGCCCCGTGAGGACCTCCAGAGGGCGAAAATAGCGAAAAACCTCCCGTCGTGATTTTCACGACGCGACGAGGTCTGGGGAGGTCGGGGGCCCGCGCCTCGAAAAAATCGAGGCGTCGGATGTCTGGGATCCTGGCGCCGCAGTTCTGCTCGAGCCGAGCGTCCTCGCCTGTTCTTCGGGCCCCTCGGGGCCCTCCCAGGTCCATCGCAGCTCGAAAAAACAGCGTGACGTCGGGCTTGTCCCTCTCATTAAAAGAGGAATATTCAAAAGTAGGACAAAATAGTATGGGAACGATTTTTCTGTTATTTTTGACCATCTTGGGGTGCTTTTTGGCTATCTTTCATTTGTCGTCCAAAATCCGCCTGCAGGGGGACCTGCCCGACCTAAAATTGGCATAGAAGGCTGGGGTCTAGTTCGGGTTCCAGGCGTGATTTCCTGACGACGTTGCAGTTTATCTTCGCTGCGCCGGATCTCAGGGCTGCACAAGGGATTCGGGCATTCCCGTGCCAGTCTTCGGCGGACTTCCACACTCGGGGTGCGTTCCAGCAGCTGCGCCTCGCAGGGAGCAGGGCTCGTTTCGACTCCTCCGACTCGATTACATTCGATTCCGATTCCGATTCGATTCGATTTCGGATTCCGATTTGGGCTTCGGTTTCGCAGTGAAGGCCTTACTAGCCTGCCGGTTTCCGCCGATTCGACTTCTCCCGGCTTGGCTGCGGATTTCCGCCGATCCGATTCGTCTCGATCGCCGATCCGACTCATGGATTCGATACTGGGCTCTCCTGGGATAGGCTAAGACGAGATTTGCTGTCAGGAGCTTTGGCTTAGCGTGTCGTTCCGCCAGTTCTGGCCCACCACGCCTCGGCGCGACGCGCGAACCACTTCCCAGTACCCGAGCGTCAATGCCCCGAGCTTTTCGTGGCCCCGCGGAGCGACACGTCATCCGCTCGCATGGCGTAGCGTGTTGCCGGGGCCACCGCCGCCACGCGCTCAGCAAAAGTTCCCGACCGCGGGGCAAGGCGAGATCTCAGGTCTGTACCCAGACGTGGTCGCGGTACATGAAACATCACGGCGGGAGGTTTTGACGGTGTTCGGCCTCTGGATGTCTCTGGAGGTCCCTGCCGCGTCCCAGAATCGTCAGAGAACGACACTTCTCAGAAGGCGGGAGCGCTTCTGAGAAGTTCCGCCGCCCTCTGAGAAGGCCTTCTCCTTCTGGCTTCCCCCCATCGGTGCGCCGCCGAGGTTGGTCTTCGGGTCATAACTTGGGCCTCCGGCGGCCGTTCGGGACGATCGGGGCACCCCTGGAACGCCCCTGGCGAGGCGCAGCCGCTGGAAGGCACCCCGGGGCTGGATAACCGCCGAGAACCCATGAAAACGCGACGCGAAAACCTCGAACCCGAAACTCCCAAACCTCGCCCGCCGCCGAGGAAAGCTGGTCTCCGGAAAGAGGTCCAGACCTCGGGGGGGGGGGCCCACGGAGTAACAAAGATCACGGCGTCGGGGGCCTGGGCACGCGCATCCGGCCTACGGGCCCCTCCGCGGCCCAGGCGCGGCCAAGACGCCCTCCAGGCTCAGCCCGGGATGGGCCAGTCCTGAGGTAGTGCCCAGACATCGGGCGTCTCGAGTAAATCGAGACAGAGGCTTTTCATAGTTCTTGGCCTCTCGGGGCCCTCGCCGGGCCTCGGGGCCGTCAACAAAGCGGCTCGGGAGGAGAAGCCGGTCCCAGAGAAGTTGTCGGGAGGTCGGGGGCCCGCGCCTCGAACAACACCGAGGCGTCGGATGTCTGGGTGGGTTGCTTTTGCATCCCGAGCTGCTCTGTTGAGGGTCCCGGGGCCTGTCCAGGGCCCCTGGGGGCCGAGAACGGCCAAAAGCCTCTGGCCGGTTTTTTGTTCCCCCGACGCAATTGAGCATGTCTGGGCACAGATCTCGCTGCCCCGGAGGAGGTGCGGCGGCGCCACGCTGCCGCCGCTGCCTCCGCCGACGGCATCCGCCGCGGCGCCCCCGCCCCGTGCGCGGCGGGCGACGTGGCCTGCAGCGGCGGCGCGGCCGCCGCGCCGGCGCGGCTGCAGCGGGCCGCAGAGGCCCGGGTGCTGCCAGAAGCGGTCCTGGCACGAGGCGTGTCCCCAGCCTTTGGGCGCCGCTTTGGGGGCCCCCCTGGGGGCCCACCGTGGCCTCACGATGGGTGCCGCGGCATGCTGCCAGAGGTGGTCCTGGCCAGAGGTGGTCCTTGTCCAGGGCATCGCCAGCTTCCTGCGCCACTTCGGGGAGCCCCGGGGCCCTCTGGGCCGCGCGGTGGCTACTTTGGGGCCCCAGGGGCCCCCCGGGGCCTCGTGATGGGTGCTGTGGAGTCCGCGTGGAGGCCTCTGACGAGAGCCTGGGGGCACCAGGGGCCAGGGACACCCCTGGCGACACCCGACCCAGAGATCCAGCGTGTTGAAAAAAATCAAGACGGAGGTCTTTCGCAAATTTCGGCCCCTAGGGGCCCTCGCCGGGCCGTCAAAAAAACGACTCAGGACGAGAAACCCGTCCTGGGGAATTGGTCGAGATTTCCGGGGACCCCGTAACGAAAAAATCACGACGTCGGATCTCCGGGGAGAGGTGCTCGTGCCGGCGGGCGCCATCCTGCTGGGGGCGGCGCTGCTGCTGCTGGGCCTCCGCATGCCCGGGCTCTTCGCCCTGTACTTCGGCGCGCAGACCGGCTTCAACCTCTACATGAAGGTGTCGCCGCGCCGCTGTGTTCCGACGCGCGGCCTCGCGCCCATGGGGAGGGCGCCACGGGCATCGGGGCAAACGCCGCCTTCGGAGCGGTGGGCTCGCCGTATATATGGGTCTGCCGCGCTGCCAGCGCCGCCTGCCTGGGCGCGGGGCGCAGGGCTTGCCGTGGGTTTGCCTTGGTGTCGACGTTGTCCACTTGGGCGCGTCAAGAGCAAGCGGCTCGGGCCCAGAGCCCCGACGCCATGATCCTTTGATGACGCGATCCCCAGGGGTCCGGGCCCCTTTTCCAGGACCGCCTTCTCATCCGCAGTCGCTCTTCGACGGCCCCGAGGCCCGGTGAGGGCCCCCGGAGGCCGAAGATAGCGAAGAGTTTCCTGTCGCGATTTCTCCACCGCGCGAGGGGGCGACAGGTGATCCTGTCCGACGCCGACGTGGCCGGCGCCCTCGGCCTGCGGGGAGTCCCCGCCGCTTTCTTGGTGACGGCCCTGCAGCAGCTGGTGGCCTTCGTGCTGCTGACCGGCGCCGTGGGGGCCCTGTGGCTCACGCGGTGGCGCTACAGGGTCAAGCGGCTCGAGACGCCGGAGGCGCCCAGCAAGAAAGAGCGGCAGATGTTGGGCTGAGGTCGCTTCGGGGACCCAGACATCCGACGTTTCGATTTTTTCGAGACGCGGGCCCCCGACCTCCTGACCACTTCCCTGGGGCCGGTTTTTCATCCCGAGTCGTTTTTTGACGGCCCCGAGGCCCGGCGAGGGCCCCGAGAGGCCAAAAATTAGCTTGGCGAAGGACCCAACCATATGCAGTTGTGAATGCCGCAACTGTGCTGGGTGGTGGCGGACGCATGCGGGCGGTGCCACTGGGACCTTCGGTGGAGTTCCCTATGGGTACTGGGTGGGTGAGACGCGGTCAGCAAGGGCTGTGCTGCGTGGTGGCGGACGCATGCGAGCGGTGCCACTGGGACCTTCGGTGGAGCTCCCTATGGGGCCACGAAACGCTGCACTGGGTGGGTGAAACGCAGGCAGGGAGCAAGGGCTGCGCAGGGTGGTGGCGGACGCATGCGGGCGGTGCCGCTGGGACCTTTGGTGGAGCTCCCTATAGGGCTACGAAGCGCTGTTCTGGGTGGGTGAAGCGCAGGGAACAAGGGCTGTGCTGGGTGGTGGCGGACGCAAGCGGGCAGTGCCACTGGGACCTTTGGTGGAGCCCCCTATGGGGCCACGAAACGTGCGAGGGGTGTGCCAGAATGGGGTGTGGAACCGCATGCCAGCGCAGCCACTGGGGCCTTCGGTGGAGCTCCCTATGGAGCCACGAAACGTGTGAGGGGTGTGCCGAAATGGGGGGTGGAACCGCATGCGAGCGCAGCCACTGCGGCGTTCGGTGGAGCTCCCTATGGGGCCACGAGACGTGTGAAGGGCGTGCCGAAAAAGGAGGTGGAACCGCATGCGAGCGCAGCCACTGGGGCCTTCGGTGGAGCTCTCTATGGGGCCACGAACCGTGTGAGGGGTGTGCCGAAATGGGGGGGGGAACCACATGCGAGCGCAGCCACTGGGGCGTTCGGTGGAGCTCCCCATGGAGCCACCCACGAAGCGTGTGAGGGGTGTGCCGAAATGGGGGGTGGAACCGCATGCGGCGCAGCCACTGGGGCCTTCGGTGGAGCTCCCTATGGGGCCACGAAACGTGTGAGGGGTGTGCCAGAATGGGGGGTGGAACCGCATGCGGGCGCAGCCACTGGGGCCTTCGGTGGAGCTCCCTATGGGGCCACGAAACGTGTGAGGGGTGTGCCAGAATGGGGGGTGGAACCGCATGCGGGCGCAGCCACTGGGGCCTTCGGTGGAGCTCCCTATGGGGCCACGAAACGTGTGAGGGGTGTGCCAGAATGGGGGGTGGAACCGCATGCGGGCGCAGCCACTGGGGCCTTCGGTGGAGCTCCCTATGGGGCCACGAAACGTGTGAGGGGTGTGCCAGAATGGGGGGTGGAACCGCATGCGGGCGCAGCCACTGGGGCCTTCGGTGGAGCTCCCTATGGGGCCACGAAACGTGTGAGGGGTGTGCCAGAATGGGGGGTGGAACCGCATGCGGGCGCAGCCACTGGGGCCTTCGGTGGAGCTCCCTATGGGGCCACGAAACGTGGAGCTCCGCATATCGGGGCCACCAAACGTGTGAGGGGTGTGCCAGAATGGGGGGTGGAACCGCATGCGGGCGCAGCCACTGGGGCCTTCGGTGGAGCTCCCTATGGGGCCACGAAACGTGTGAGGGGTGTGCCAGAATGGGGGTGGAACCGCATGCGGGCGCAGCCACTGGGGCCTTCGGTGGAGCTCCCTATGGGGCCACGAAACGTGTGAGGGGTGTGCCAGAATGGGGGGTGGAACCGCATGCGGGCGCAGCCACTGGGGCCTTCGGTGGAGCTCCCTATGGGGCCACGAAACGTGTGAGGGGTGTGCCAGAATGGGGGGTGGAACCGCATGCGGGCGCAGCCACTGGGGCCTTCGGTGGAGCTCCCTATGGGGCCACGAAACGTGTGAGGGGTGTGCCAGAATGGGGGGTGGAACCGCATGCGGGCGCAGCCACTGGGGCCTTCGGTGGAGCTCCCTATGGGGCCACGAAACGTGTGAGGGGTGTGCCAGAATGGGGGGTGGAACCGCATGCGGGCGCAGCCACTGGGGCCTTCGGTGGAGCTCCCTATGGGGCCACGAAACGTGTGAGGGGTGTGCCAGAATGGAGGGTGGAACCGCATGCGGGCGCAGCCACTGGGGCCTTCGGTGGAGCTCCCTATGGGGCCACGAAACGTGTGAGGGGTGTGCCAGAATGGGGGGTGGAACCGCATGCGGGCGCAGCCACTGGGGCCTTCGGTGGAGCTCCCTATGGGGCCACGAAACGTGTGAGGGGTGTGCCAGAATGGGTGTGGGAGGTGGAGGAGGGGGGAGGAAGGTGAGGAGGAGGAAGGAGGAGGAGGAAGGAACGCGGGGCGACGTCTCTTCAAAACGAGGACCCAACACCACAGGATGGTTGGGAATTATGAAAAACGTCTGTCTCGATTTTCTCGAGGCGCCCGATGTCTGGGGAGGGCGCCTCCATGCTCGTCGTGTCTGTTGGCCGCTCTTGTTCCTCCTGGCTGCTCTTGGGGAGGGTACCCTTCAAGCCTTTTCGGCTTGGCCGGCGGAGGGTCTCACGTCCCAGCCGCGCGCCAACATTACCTTTCGGGGCCTCATGTTCCGCGAAGGCGGCTTGGCCGGCGGGGGGTCCCATGTCCCGCGAAAGATGATATATAGTACATCTTACCAGCCTGGAACATGTCCCTATCCCTGTGCTGGGCATCTCCTCATCACGGTGCCGATCTTAGGGATCCCCCTATTTTTTGAGGGCGCATCCCTGAGATTGTCGCCGCCTTCTGGCGTGTCGATCTTAGGGATAGGGAGAAGTTCGAGGCTGGTAAACATCCTGGGCCCGGCCGCACGCAAACGTTCCCTCTCGGAGCCCCGAGCGAGTTCCGTTTCCTGGACCGGTGCTGGGCGCCCCCGTGGAGGCATCTCCTCTGCCGGCCCCCGGAGCTCCGCGCGGCGCGCCCCGCGCAGTCTGTGCCTCCGCGGTCGCCGCCCGCTCCCCCCGAGGAGTGGGTCGCCGTGCTGTGCCTCTCCGCGGCCTTCGGCGCCAACATCGGCCTCAACAACCTGAGCCTCTCGTACCTGCCGGTGTCGCTGAATCTCACCATACGCTCCTGCTTGCCGCTGGTCAGGGGGGGAAGAATCGGGAGGGGAAAAAACACACAGACACAATGAATCGTCGATTCCCCCGAAGATATGGGAAAATATGGGAAGTGGGGGGGGAGACAAAAACCCAGAAAATATGGGAAAATATGGGAAATTATTTTATTAGTGTGTATTTATTTGTGTGTCCCAGGGCCCCTTCAAAGAAAGTTCAGCCAGCGTGGACTTTAAAGCGTGGTTTCTTGCAATACGTATCGACAGAGCAATCTAGGTGGTGCAACCGATGCGGTGCAATCTGGGTGGTGCAACCCAAGTGGTGCGATCGATGCGGTGCAAAGCAGTGCATCTCAATGCACTGCAATGCAAAGCGGTGCAAAGCGGCGCAACGCACTGCACAGCAAGTCAAAGCAATACAACGCAATGCAAGGCAATGTAAATCAATGCAAAGCAATACAAAGCAATGCAAAGCAATGCAACGCAGTGCATCGCAATGCAACGCAATGAACAGCAACGCAAGATAATGCAAAGCGACGTACATCAAGTCAAAGCAAAGCAAAGCAATTCACAGCAACGCAACACAATGCAAAGCAATGCAAAGCAACGCCAAACAACGTAAAGCAATGCAAAGCCATGCCAAGCCACTCAAAGCAACGCAAAGCAATGCAATGTAACGCAATGCAACGCAATGCAACGCAATCACGCTATGGAAAGCAACGCGGCTACGGCTGGCGACGAGCCGGCCAGACCGCCACTGGGGCCCAGTTACCTTGCAACACATGGAAGGTTCCCTGAGTGCAAGCACTGCTTCGGGAAACAATGAAACAATTGTTGACGCTTCGCGTATCCCCACCAGCCCATCCAGAAACGATGCTCAGGGGAGTTGAGGTGATCAGGGAAGTCGGGGAGCATGCAGAATAACAAAGGGCGGGGGAAGCTGTCACAGACCCCGAGAGGGGGAGGATGGAAGAGGAGTCGTCGTCGTCGTCGTCGTCGTCGGAGGAGGAGGAGGAGGAGGAGGGGGGAGGAGGAGGAGGAGGAGGAGGAGGACGGAGAAGGAGGAAGAATCGGAGGAGGAGGAGGAGGAGGGGAAGGAGCTTCTTGGGGGTCTTTTGAGGGCCTCTTGGAGGGCTTTTTGGGCGCCTTGGGGCATCTTGGGCGCCTCTTGGGACCCTCTTGAGGCGCTCTGGGGAGCCTTCGGGGCGCTTTTGGGGCCATCTTGGAGGGAGTCGATCAAACAAGAGGGGGGGTTTAATTAGCGCCCCCCCTCGGAAGCCCCTAAAATCGCCTCTTGGACCCCTCTTGGAACGCTCTTGGAGTGCTCTTGGGCGCTCTTGGGGCCGTCTTGGGGCTCTTTTGGGGCTCTCTTGGGGCCCTCTTGGGCCATCTTGGAGCCATCTCCAGGCCTCGGATAGCCATCGGAAGCGAAAAGGCGAGAAAGCAAAAATCATTGATTTTCCTTAGGTTTTGGGACGATTTTGGCCTCTTCGGGGCCTCCTTGGGGAGCTGTTTGGCCACTTGGAGTTATCTTGGGGCCGTCTTTGGGCTTCTTGGAACCATCTTAGGAGCCATCGTGAGCGATCTTGCGCTATCTTGAGCCATCTTGGAGCTCATCTTGGGTTCTCTGAGGCGCTCTTGGAGCCGTCTTGGGCCATCTTGGACGCTCTAACTACCCGCGGCCCCCCCCGTCCAGGTCCAGGGGAGGGGGTAGGGGGAGGGGTAAACCCCTCCCCAAGGGGGAAGAGGGAGGGGTGGAAGAGGATCTGCTCTAGACCACCTACGCCCAGAGGGCTGGTGGGATTGCACTAACATAAGCTTTCGGATGTCCTCGCGTCCTCGCGGATTTCTCGGATCGGCGCCGCACCCCCCTTTCCTGGCGCGCGGAGCGCACCCAGGGGCGGCGCCGGAAACGCCGCTGGGGGGGCTCAGCGCATATCCAGGAAGTCCGCGCGGATCTCCCGAAGTTTGGATCGGTACGCATTTGCCGTCATCCCTCTTCGAGGTCACCCTGGCGGTGCAGCTCGTCATCTCGCGGTGCCGCATGGGAGACGCCCCGCCCACTTCCCACACGGAGGTGGGGCTCATGTCTCTGGCTTAGTTGCCTCGATACGTGCGTTTTGAAACGCAAGACGTCCCGTGTTCAAGACGTCCGTGTCAATACCTTGCGTGTTGGCTCCACGTATTGGACCACGCTTTGCCGAACGTATCGCGTCGGACTTACGTTTTCGGCCTACGTGTGGAGTTCCGTATCGATACGGTACGTGTTGCGTGTTGCGTATCGGGGCAGCTAAGGTCGTTGGGAGTCTTCTTCGCCTGCCTGGCCACGATGGCCAAGGGCGAGGGCTCCCACTCCGCGCAGGAGCGGAGGGCACCTCCGCGGCCCCGCCGGGGGGGTGGCGAACCCCTCCCTGGGAGCAGCTTTCGGCTCCACAGCTTCAGCGTCGTCGCCGTCAACGGCGTCGCCGTCGATGTCGGCGTCGGCGTCGGCGTCGGCGTCGGAAACGTCGTCGTCGGCGTCGGCGTCGGCGTCGGCGTCGGCGTCGGCTCGACGTCGTCGCCGTCGTCGTAATCGTCGTCGTCGGCGTCGGCGTCGTCGTCGTCGTCACCGTCGTCGTCGTCGGTCGTCGTAGTCGTCGTCGTCGTCGTCGTCACTGTCGTCGTCGCCGTTACTGTCGTCGTCGCCGTCATCCGCGTCGGCGTCGGCGTCATCCGCGTCGGCGTCGTCGTCACTGTCGTCGTCGTCGTCGTCGTCGTCGTCGTCGTCGTCGTCACTGTCGTCGTCGTCGTCGGCGTCGCCGTCGGCGTCGACGTCGGCGTCGGCGTCGTCGTCACTGTTTTCGTCGTCGTCGTCGGCGGCATCGGCGTTGTCGTCGTCGGCGTCGTCATCGGCGTCGGCGTCGTCGTCGTCGTTGTGGTCGTGATCGTCACTGTCGTCGCCGCCGCCGTCGTCGTTGTCGTCGTTGTCGTCATCGTCGTCGTCGGCGTCGCCGGCCGCGTCGTCATCGGCGTCGTCGGCGTTGTCGTCGGCGTCGGCGTCTGCGTCGGCGTCGGCGTCAGCGTCGGCGTGCGTCGTTGTCGTCGTCGTCACTGTCGTCGTCGTCGTCTTCATCGTCGTCGTCGGCGTCGGCGTCGGCGTCGGAGTCGGCGTCGTCGTCACTGTTGTCGTCGCCGTCCCTGTCGTCGTCGCCGCCGTCCGCGTCGGCGTTGGCGTCGTCGTCGGCGCTGTCGTCGTCGTCGTTACTGTCGTCGTCGCCGTCGTCGTCGTCGGCGTCGGCGTCGGCGTCGGCGTCAGCTTCGGCATCGGCGTCGGCTCGTCGGCGTCACTGTCGTCGTCGTCGTCGTCGTCATCGTCGTCGTCGTCACTTTCGGCGTCGTCGTCGTCGCTGTCTTCGTCGTCATCATCGTCGTCATTGTCGTCGTCGAGGTCGGCGTCGGCGTCGGCGTCACTGTCGTCGTCGCCGCCGTTATCTTTATCGTCGTCGTTGCAGTCGTCGTCGTCGTCGTTGTCGTCGTCGTCATCGTCGGCGGCGTCGGCCTCGGCGTCGGCATCGGCGTCAGCGTCGGCGTCGGCGTCGGCGTCGTCGTCTGCGTCACTGCCGGGCGTCGTCGTCGGCGTCGGCGTCGTCGTCGTCGTCGTCATCGTCGTCACTGTCGTCGTCGTCGCCGTCGCCGTCGCCGTCGGCGTCTGCGTCGGCGTCGGCGTCGTCGTCGTCATTGTCGTCTTCGTCGTCGGCGGCGTCGGCGTTTCGTCGTCGTCGGTGTCGGCGTCGGCGTTGGCTCGTTGTTATCACTGTCGTCGTCGTCGTCGTCGTCGTCGTCGTCGTCGTCGGCATCGGCGTCGGCGTCGGCGTCGGCGTCGGCGCCGTCGCCGTCGTCGTTGTCGTCGCCGTCGTCTGTGTCGGTGTCGGCGTCGTCGTCGTCGTCGGCGTCGGCGTCGTCGTCGTCACTGTCGTCGTCGGCGTCGGCGTCGGCGTCGGCGTCGGCGTCGTCGGCGTCGGCGTCGGCCCGGCGTCGGCGTCGGCGTCGGCGTCGGCGTCGGCGTCGGCGTCGGCGTCGGCGTCGTCGTCGTCACTGTCGTCGTCGGCGTCGGCGTCGGCGTCGGCGTCGTCGTCGTCGTTGTGCAGGAGGTGAGCCACCTCTGTTTCGGCGTGGCCGCGTGCTGCCTGTCATGCGTGGCCGCGGCCCTCAACATGGTGATCGTGGCCGCCGTAGGCCAGAAGATGGACCCGCTGCCTGCAACCGGCTGCGAACCCAGAGATCCAACGTCTTGAAAAAATCAAGACGGAGGTTTTTCGCAAATTTGGGCCCCCAGAGGGCCTCGCCAGGCCTCGGGACCGTCAAAAACGATTCAGGATGAAACACGTGTCCTGGGGAAAAGATCGAGGCTTCCGGGGACCGCGCATTGAAAAAATCACGACGTCGGATCTCTGGGAACCCGACCCTCGGAGGCGACGATCCCAGGCCCCCTCGCGCTGTGACAAAGTCACGATGGGAGGTTGTTTTTGCCATCTTTGGCCTCCGAGGGGCCCTTTCCAGGGCTTCGAGCAAGCAAGCAGCAAGCAAAGGCCTGCATACTGAAGGGCCTCGGGGCCGTCAAAAAATGGGTCAAGAGGAAAAGCCGGTCCTGGGGAAGGGGTCCAGACCTTTGGGGGTCGACGTTGCGAAAAATCCCACCAGCCCTCTGGGCGTAGGTGGTCTAGAGCAGATCCTCTTCCACCCCTCCCTCTTCCCCCTTGGGGAGGGGTTTACCCCTCCCCCTACCCCCTCCCCTGGACCTGGACGGGGGGGGCCGCGGGTAGTTAGAGCGTCCAAGATGGCCCAAGACGGCTCCAAGAGCGCCTCAGAGAACCCAAGATGAGCTCCAAGATGGCTCAAGATAGCGCAAGATCGCTCACGATGGCTCCTAAGATGGTTCCAAGAAGCCCAAAGACGGCCCCAAGATAACTCCAAGTGGCCAAACAGCTCCCCAAGGAGGCCCCGAAGAGGCCAAAATCGTCCCAAAACCTAAGGAAAATCAATGATTTTTGCTTTCTCGCCTTTTCGCTTCCGATGGCCATCCGAGGCCTGGAGATGGCTCCAAGATGGCCCAAGAGGGCCCCAAGAGAGCCCCAAAAGAGCCCCAAGACGGCCCCAAGAGCGCCCAAGAGCACTCCAAGAGCGTTCCAAGAGGGGTCCAAGAGGCGATTTTAGGGGCTTCCGAGGGGGGGCGCTAATTAAACCCCCCCTCTTGTTTGATCGACTCCCTCCAAGATGGCCCCAAAAGCGCCCCGAAGGCTCCCCAGAGCGCCTCAAGAGGGTCCCAAGAGGCGCCCAAGATGCCCCAAGGCGCCCAAAAAGCCCTCCAAGAGGCCCTCAAAAGACCCCCAAGAAGCTCCTTCCCCTCCTCCTCCTCCTCCTCCGATTCTTCCTCCTTCTCCGTCCTCCTCCTCCTCCTCCTCCTCCTCCTCTTCCCCCTCCTCCTCCTCCTCCTCCTCCGACGACGACGACGACGACGACGACTCCTCTTCCATCCTCCCCCTCTCGGGGTCTGTGACAGCTTCCCCCGCCCTTTGTTATTCTGCATGCTCCCCGACTTCCCTGATCACCTCAACTCCCCTGAGCATCGTTTCTGGATGGGCTGGTGGGGATACGCGAAGCGTCAACAATTCAGGACGTCGGAGGCGGCGATAGGGGCGAATGGCGCAGGTGCGGGCATTACACGTGTTCGCCCGGGAGCCTCGCCGAATGCATGGACCATCGGCGCCCCTGGATACACGCATATTGCTCTCCCCTGGGCTATTCGCCCCCACCGTCGCACCCGATACTTCCGCGGGTCCGATCGGCGCTGCGGTGTCGAACGCCCCCGCTGGGGCTCGCTTGGCCGCAGGAGTCCTTCGACGCCCGAGCCCCCGCCGGTCTCTCAGAGAGCTGACCTGCGGGGGCAGGGCCCCCATGTGGTGTCCCGTGTTGGGTGTTCGACCATCCCAGACCCCCTCGAGTAATGAAAAAATCACGACGGGAGGTTTTTCGCCATTTTCGGCCTCTGGGGGCCCTCACCGGGCCTCGGGAGCGTCAAAAAACGACTCAGGATGACAAACCGGTCCCGGGGAATGGGTCCGGACCTCTGGGGGTCGCGTCATGAAAAAATCATGACGTCGGGGGTCTGGGTTGGGTGTTCGACCATGGGCTCCCTTGCCCAACGCAGCCACCGAGCTTTCGCGCCGAAGACCGCTCGAAGACCACCGGGAACCGCCGAAGACCGCCAGAAGGCCGCCCGATCGGACCGCCCAAGACTGCCAGAAGGCCGCCCCAGGCCGATGGGTAACAGAGGGTCCAGAGTCGAAAACGTAGGACATGAATCCGGTGGACTCGGCGCTCTACATGGCCCTGCCGGCGGCGCTGTGCCTGATGCCACCGGCCTTCTTCGTGCCCCACCCGGTCGGCTGGCCCGGTTTCGAGAGGTTGACGGACGTGCAGGTCTTGCGGCAGGTGCTGACGCTGAGCCCGGGCACGGTGGGCTGGTTGGCCCTGTCTGGCGTCTTCGGCGTCGCCTACAACGTGCTCCAGTTCCAGCTCGTCCAGGCCTCGAGGAGCAAGGATTGATACCCATTTACTTTCAGAGCTCCGCGCGGATTTCTCAGATCAGCGCTGAGCGCCCCTGGCGGCGCCGCCCCTGGCGCGCTCCGCTCGCCAGGGAGGAGGTTCCATCGCGCCGTCTTCTCTTCGCCTCAGGCCTTCTCCGCCGCCCACACCGCCTTCGCGGGCAACTTCAACAAGGGCGCCACCATCGCGCTGTCCATCTGCCTCAGCCTTGAGTCGCTGCCCCCGAGGCCGTGGGACCGCGTGATGCTGATCGCCCTGGCCGGCAACGTCTGCGCCTTCGCCTGCTACAGCGCGGCGGCTCGAAGCCGGGGTCTTGAGGGGTGGGGCACGACTCGGAGGGAGCCAGCTGTGCAGCAGCACCGATCCTGGCCAGGCTGGGGCCCAAGATCTGTGTGACTGTGTGCCTTCCCGCCCAAGCTGTGTGCGGCGTAGCTATTCGAGCAGTGGCGAAGCATCCTGGCTCGCCCACAGCCCTACCAAACAGTGTTCTAAGAGCCTTCCGTGGTTCCCACGAGCGGTTCTCAGAACACTTCTGGCTGGGACCGTCTTGTTTTAACACATCGGGCTTATGTTCTAAGAACATTGTCTTTGTTATTAGAACATTGTTGGGTTCTAAGAACATTTCGTGGTATGACTATAGGAATGCCGGGACGGTCGGTCCCTGCTCAGACTATACACCGCGCCCAGGGCTCGGGATGGGCCCGGCCAGGGCCAGCGCAGGTGTATACATGCTGGCGCCCTTCCTGCTGAGGAGGGGACAACGACCCACAGAGATCCGAGGTATCGCGAGTTTTGTCAGTGCGCGGTCCCCGGAAGACTCGACTCATTCCACAGGGGACCGGTTTTCCATCCTGAGTCGTTTTTCGACGGCCCCGAGGCCCGGCGAGGGCCCCCATAATCAGGGGCCGAAGCTTGCGAAAGATCTCCGCCTTGCTTTTGTTCCGCGCGTTGGATCTCTGGGAGGGCGGCCCGAGCTGAGCCTTCGCTGCCTGAGGCCACTCGCGCCCGGACCCCCGAGGTCCAGATCGAGTTGTCCGATGCGGGCTCCCGGGAGCTCTGGAGAAGTCCTGCTCCCCCCAGTCTCCTGACGGCCCTCGGGCCGGCGAGCGCCCCCAGACGCCGAGAGCGGCGGAAAGCCTCCGCCGCACTGCCCGGAGGTGCAGGAGCGAACGAAGGACGTGCGCGTACATGAATCGACGCTGGTTTCGAGAGCTCGCCTTGCGCGACGGGTCGTATCGCGCGGCCGGTCTCGCGGCTCGAGGGGCCGTGCTTGCGTACCTAGCCGGGCGCGTGATGACGTCTTGTGTGGGCTCCCTGCAGATGCTGCCCAGTACCCTGGGCCCAAACGTGCTCGGACACGATCGATCGGGAGGGGAAAAAACACGCACAGACACAATGGATCGTCGACCCCAGAGAAAACATGGGACAGTATGGGAATTGGAGGGGAAGACGAAAGCCCAGGAAACAGGAGAAAACATGGGGAATCCTGTTATATTTGTGTGTATCTATATGTGTGTGTGTGCGTGTGCGTGTGCGTGTGCGTGTGTGTGTGTGTGTCTTTGTGTGTGCGTGTGTGTGTGTGTGTGTGTGCGTGTGTGTGTGTGTGTGCGTGTGTGTGTGTGTGTGTGTGTCTGTGTGTGTGTCTGTGTCTGTGTGTGCTTGCGTGTGTGTGTGTGTGCGCGTGTGTGTGTGTGTGTGAATGTGCGTGTGTGTGTGCGTGTGTGTGTGTGTGCGTGTGTG